CAAAAAAATAATTTAATTTTAAAAAAAAAAAAAAATTCAAAATTAAAATTTAAAATTTAATAAAAAAAATAAAAAAAAGGTCAAAAAAAAAAATAAAAAAAAAAAAAAAAAAAAAAAAAAAATTTATAAAACATTATAAAAAAAAAAAAAATTTTTTTATAAAAAAAAAAAAAAAAAAAAAACCCGCCAAGCGCTTTGCCCTTCCCCCTCCCTTTTTTCCTTTCTTCCCCAATAAAAACAAAACAAAAGCGGCAATTAAAATAAATAATAGAAAAAATCTCTCGGCCTATTCATTCGCACCGTTCACGGCACCGCATTTTTGTTTGTATAATTATAAGTTATAAAGCATATCTAGAAACAGATAGCATACCTCAAAAACATTTGGTGGCCCCGAGTTGATCGTGAACGCGTGTAAATGTTAAGAAATTATTAAATATTGTTTTAATAATTCTTACTCAATCAGGTGTGAAGGTCAATATACTCAATTCGCATCGTTTGTACGGTATTCGCTTATACCAGCAAACCAAAGCTTCAGTCAGCATCGGCTACTACTATCCGGCCACTCCCACCCGTACGCCCACCAAGCTCAAAAGACGGTTTTCGCATTTTCTAGAAAAGCTGAGATCTCGGTAACTATAAGTGATAGAAAGTTCGGATTAAGAATGTAGGTTTTTATGATGCTCCCAATGCGAATTGTTGATCAAGACCCACGTCCACTCTAACGCCCACAAAACCCGAAAAACCAAAAATGCAAAACGAGTTTTCATCCGGCCACGCCCACACAAACCGCGGAAAACTGTGGCGTCTATAATATTATTATCAATGCCTTCGTTTGACCTTGATGGCGCCATGTGAATTTCAACTAGCAAAATGAATATTTTAAAAAAGAATAGAACAGTAACTTGTATTTTATTGTCGCGGAACTCGACTATAGCGTTTCTTCTTGTTTTTAATTTCTACGACCTCTTTGAGGATTTAAGCTTATCTTAGAACATTTATTCAGACCGCGTGGTCGAGGCACACATATTCAACCACCTCTCAATTTCGCCAGATCTGCACCTTCTTTCACTTCCGACGACGATTCCTGATCATTTTTCCCCGGCGTATTACAACACGCCCTCAAAGGCGACTCCGTGACAACTACTCAAATTTGTAGACTTTTTGTTGTTGCATATTTGGTGAGTTCTTTGGTTTTAAGCTCTTTCGCCAATATGTACTCAATTAAAATGCGGTTAATTTTTGGCTGCAACTTAAGCGCCAAGCATAATAAAATGAATCTTAAACTAAATTGTAATTAACGAAACGGCAAAACAACACTCACTCTGATAACAACAACACCACTTTAGTTGAAACAGGCTTGATCATAATAACATTTGATACACGCAAACTCCCAGAATTATTGCGAGTTGGCTACGAAACAGTTCGTATTCGTGAGTACATCCCACTACCACTCCGATGCCGAAAATGCCTCCGCTATGGTCACCCAGCATCAATATGCAAAAGCTCCGAAACTTGCACTAATTGCTCAGAAATAAAACACACAAGCGACGGAGAAACATGCAAAAACGAAAAAAATTCCTAAACTGCAAAAACAACCAAGAACTTGGCCATCAGCATAGCTCAATCGACTGTAAATGCCCTACTTTCATAAAAAACCAAGAATAAACAGCTAAGAAGCTTCCCACTCCTTCCCCTCTACCATCCAACCCGCTACCCCCTCATCCAAAATTTGGTCCAATATAAGACGCTTCTGCGGACTTAACCCAGTTGAACAAATTCATGCGATCACAAACGCACAAAACAATGAGACAACATTAGCCAGCAACGAAATTACTAACATATTTGCACGAGATTTCTCAGACCTCTCCGGCGACTGAAACTTTTTAGAGGAGTCCCGAAACCACAAATACAAAAGAAACTTTCAAAATGATACCCCCTCTGCAATAGCCCAAACCATAGAAAAAAACATAAAATTCTTAGAACTTACCTTAGCCCTACAAACATTAAAAGGATCTTCCGCAGGACTAAACAGAATTTCATATCAAATGATTAAAAATAGCTCCACCATAACAAAAAACAGAATAACCAAATTTTTCAACGAAATATTTAACAATCACATACCACAAGCTTACAAAACAAGTCTAATCATTCTAATCATCAAGCCGAACACAGACATAACTAAACCCACTTTATACCGACCCATTTCGATCAACTGTTGTATAGCCGAAAGACTAGATAAAATTATAGCCAAAATGGTTAAATGGTTAATGGTTAGTGTGATGGTTAACCTACTGAACGAAAACCAATTCGGATTTAAAAAAGGCAAATCGACTTTCGACTGCCTACTTTATGTAGACTATCTTATAACGAAGTCAAAAATGAACTCCTCCCTCGTAAATGATTTCTCAAGAGCCTTTGACCGAGTCGGTGTACACTCAGTAATCGACCAACTGTAGGAATGGAAAATAGGTCCAAAAATATTCCACTACATCAAAAACTTCATGATTAACAGAAAAATAATTGTTCGAGTCGGGCCACATACATCGAACTCATTACCCTTATTCAATGTAATTCCACAAGGTTCGCCCATATCCGTAATACTATTCCTTATTGCCTTCAATAAACTATCAGACATCATATCCTTAAATAAAGATATCAAATTTAATGAATACGCCGACGACTCTTTTCTTATAAATTAAACAAAAATTAAACAAAGTAAAAACACCGTTTAACTCTGCAATCCGTCTAGTCCTCGGAGCCTATCGCTCTACTCCAATAAACAACTTACTCTACGAAGCAAATATTCCTCCACTAGAAATGAGACGAGACCTTCAAACTGCCAAACAATCTCAAAACTTAATATTTTCTAAAAACACACCAATTCACAAGATTATCAAACATAAAAAAACCGAAAGGAAGACCAAAAAAAACCAAAACCAAGCCTAGCACTTAATCTACCTTACAAATCAATAAAACTTCATAAATACAAACCTTCCTGGGCACTCCCCAATCTAATAGACACATCACTCCGTACGTACATGAAACACGAAACATCCCAGAAACATAGCAAAAACGTTTCGAACACACAAAGAATAAACTTAAACCACATAATATTCAATCCATTCATATTCACCGACGGTTCAAAAATGAATGGCACAATAACTTATGCCATTACAACAGAAACAAACATTTTAAAATATGGCACACTGCCTCATTATTCATCCGTCCTCACCTCAGAACCATCCTAGAAGCAATCGAAATTATTAAGAACCAAAGAGGTAAATTCATTATCTGTTCCGACTCCCTAGCAACTATAGACTCAATACAGAACTCAAATAACAACCACTTCTACCCAAACAGAATCAGATCACTTTTAACCCAATATGCCCGATTTAGCGCCGATCAAGCCGCAAAGTCAGTAAACATTATGCCACTTATCTTCACCCCAAACATAAATAACGTAGACATAGAAAGACATCTTAAATCTGAATTTGCCATAAAACAAAAGGAAACCATTATACAGTGCAGTCAATGGTACCAATCAATTATTACGAATACCTCACACACCTAGGACTACTTAAGACAGTCCCACAAAAACTGGACCAGACTTGACCAAATAAAAATAATACGACTTCGACTAGGACACACAAACATAACTCACCAACACTATTGAACGAAATTCAACACCAATTTGTCCGTTTTGCCAAGGCGACATTTCATTAAATCATATCCTAAACTCGTGCCCATCACTCTTACAAACCAAACAAACCATGTTTAAAAACGCTAACCCCCTGAATCTCCTTAGCAACCCTGACCCAGACAACAAAAAATCCCACTTTTCCTTAAAACAACTGAATTATACCAAAAATTAAAAAAAATTTCCTAGCAAACACAACAATCAACTAGCCAATTACTCAATATTAGATAAAGATACAGTACCATTGTAAACCAATATAGCCATAGGCCACGCAGCCAGCGCTATATTATCTAAGTTAGCTTAGTTTTGTAAACTATTCTATCTGTTATAAATAACAATAAATAATAATTTTACTTAGCATTAGCACAAGTTTATGTTTACAACTCAACAAAACCTTTTTATAGTACTCAGCAAACCCCAATAATTTTTTTAACGGGACAGAAAAGTTTAAGTATGGTCCAGTATAAAAGTTATCTCCACCCCTCCATCTAGAGTTTAAAAGATTTTGAATTTGGAAGTTATCGAGTGTTTAAAATTGTTTAAGAGTAGCTGTCATTCTCGCATCCTTTTATTTCTTACTTGATTCCACCAAAAAGAAAGCCATACAATTATTTTTAAAAATGTTGCAACATTGTCGGATCGACTCTTGTATCTTTTCTAATAATTCCTTGAAAGTTCAGGTAACTCTTATAAGGGAGCATATAAAAGTCTTGATTTTAGATAGTAATTTGAATGTCATCGTTTGGTTTAAATGTTTAATTATACGACAAATAGTTATAAATTTTTTTTTGTAATACTCTCATCGAGTAAACTTTTTCTCGAATATTTAATATTATATTTCATTCATTGTTTTCTTTCTGTAAGTTTGAAGCCTAGAGACTTTAAAAATAATTTATTTTTTAAAGTAAGTGAGCTTCTTTTTAGATTTGATTCCCTTCCTAAAGTAATACAATTATTAATGATTGGTTGAGTGTATGCACCAGGTCTTTTATTATTCTGTCTTACGAATATTCATCTGAATCGAAACGTTCTCACCAGAGTGTGCTAATTTCATTACAGTTGATTGGCAAGTAAATAAGATTGTGTGGTGTCACATTTATTTTGTAGCCAGGAGGAACATTAATACCGAGTTGGGTATATTGTCTACATTAAATACGTAAATAGGATGTAAGGGTTATGGCTCACTCTGATATCGGGTACAGCTTCTGGCTCACTTTGATAACATATACGGCTTCTGGCTCTCTTCCGGTTAAATGGTTTTATTATCAGTTGTAGTTAATATGGTTTTAATATCAGTTGTGGTTTTTGTGGTCTATGCGGTTTCCGGTTTTTGTAGGCTCTGTAGTTTTAGTATCAGTTGTAATGTGTATGTGTTTTTGTGGGTTGTGTAGTTTTACAGAATGCCCCAAGTAGCAATTGCTTTTTGAACTATCGATAATTTTGACTTTGACATTTCGAATGTCATTGTCAATGTGTCAGATATTTAGTAGAAGGTTTTCGGTTTACGGAATAGTTTATTTTACGCTCGAAGAATTCTGATCGTTAATGGGGCTATCGGGGAATGTTGTAAGGCTTTATCTTTTCCCGAATGGAAGAAGAACACATAGGCGACATATGTTTCCAGCATGATGGCGCTACGTGCCACACAACCAACGTGGTAAGTTTGAAAACCGCATAGCCAGCCTGGCAGCTGCGATTTGACCACGTTCGACTAGTTTTTGTGAGGTGCCATCAAGGATAAGTGATATGCCAACCACCCAGAGACGATTGACGTCCTAAAACACGAGATTGAAGTCGCCATGATGGCCAATGAGGGCCATAACATCGAAAATGTGTTTAAAAATTGGGTCGACCGAATGGGCTACTGTAAAGCCAGCCGACACGTGTTCTGATAATCAAGATCATTCGTATATCGTGTCTACTTGGGGGCACGCTTTCTGAAAAATATTTTCTAGAACATTCACGATTTGATATTCTTTATTTTATCATGTACCCCACTCAATCCCCTCTCTCCATCCACCCCTTCTCGGACTTTACAAACACATCATCGATGAAGGCTTTAGATGTTTTTTTCTGAATGAACGCAAAAATGTTATATAAACTTAAAAATTCAGTTCTCATATTTTTTCCGAAAAGAAGCCGTTATCACAAACCACAAATATTCAGTTATCACAAACCACAAATATTTTTTTTGTAAAAGGAAGTATTTATCTCAAACCGCAGTTCTCACGCTTGTTTTTCTGAAAAATAATATAAATACTGAATGCGAGCAACAAAATATTTTTTTTTGTGGAAGGAAATAGATATAACAAACCCAGTTCCCACGTTTTGTTGTTTCTAAAAATGGTTTAAATACTGATACCATACTGGCCAACAATACTGACCAAGTCAGAAGAAATTCATGCTATTTGTGCCATACAAACTCGTACTGTTTTAGCTGCCTCCTCATTGCTTACCTACAGGATGAGTGAATCGAGCTCGGTGCATTATCTCTGCCATCAATAAGGATCATAAGATCAATGCCCTTTAATTAACCTGTATCAGTAGAAAATGCAGAAGTCAGGAGAACGCAGAGTTAGTTGTGTTTCTGCCAGAGCGTTATCTAAGACGGCTGTGCAGCATGTTTCGAAAGGGAACTAGAAATTCGTCAAAGAAACCTTATTCTCGGAAGAAGAGAAATTAAAAAAAGAATAAAATATATTTAAATATTGAAAAACAAAAAAAAATAAAATGGTTGTAGTTTTTTGCGAGTTTTGTGGGGTCATTTTCAAGAATATAGCTTTTGTTGATCAACTAAGAGTTTTTAATTGCTGTAGAATAAATAAATCGGGGCAGTTCAATTTACAAATTTTACTCCGAGCTCAAATCAAACAAAATCCACTTAGCACAAAGAACACGGGGAATGTACAAAACGAAGCTGTTGAAATATACGTATGTAAATACATACAAGTGCAAGAGTTATATATATATTCATACATCACATTTATTGTTTATGTGTTGGTAGAGAGGGATCTAAGAAGGTAACGGCAACAGTGCCTTTTGGTTGTCCCCCTCACATATTCCTCTTCTTTTGTGCACGCGTCAATTAGCGTCACTTCAGATTTGGCAGCGAGCTAGTGCAGTTCATATAATCTAAATCAAAGTGTTCTTATTTATGGGCCCAGTCACAATTGCAACTGAAAAATAATAGGAATACGTTGATTGTTGAAATAAAACTTAAAGTGAATAAAAAAAAGGTGAAAGCATATGTGAATGTTTGTGTGCATATATGTATGCAGTTTGCAGTCACCATCGAAATATAAATGCTAGAAGTGTTTGATTATTGTGTGATAGAAATTTCACAATATAACTATTTAATTTCACAAAAAATGACTCTGGGACCAATTCACATATATTATATTTCCAGGAAGAAGCCAAGACGAATTCGCCGAACTGACGAATTTGCTGAACTGTGTTAGTGGACCGTGTTGCTGAACTGTGCCGCTGTGTTGCTAAAAAGTTGTTTGCTAGGAAGTATTGCTGTGTTGGAAAACGATGGATAAGGGTAAACGGAACATAAAACCATTTATGGAGAAAAGTACTCTATTTGAAAGTTAGTAGGTTAATAAAGCTGGTTCTGGCATAGATTAATCGGCTATTAAGCTGTCACATAGATAGAAAATATTGTTTCCCCCACCCCGAAACCCATTATCCGTCGTCTCCTATGATAAGGATTGCCCCTTACCACCCTTTTAGTCAGTATAGATTCTGGCACAGAAATCCTAAGCCCATAAATTATAGTTTTTAAAATCAGTGCACGTGTTCAAAGAAGTAATAAAATGTGACGATTGTGTCATGATCCGTTGTGCCCCTATCCGTTATTTGGGAATATTGAAATGTATTCCTGGCCCTAATTAGGAGGATTGGGAACGTCTTAAGGGATTGAATTTTCTCAAAACACACTGTCAATTTCTATATATGTATGCCTCTGTCTACGTGAGTGCGAGTGTATGGTTGAGTGGGAACCCCAGATGTGTGTGAAGAGGGTCGGATTCTTATCACGATATGGAGAACCGATATACGTTCATGGACGGACCATAATAAAATTGTCAAGTGCATACTCAAGTATAAGTCAATGTTTCAAGTTGTTTATTCAAATTTCAGATTTTTAGATTTTAATACTTTAAGCAAAGGGACACAGACTAAATAGTTTGCATTGCAGTCGCCGTTTCTTAACGCTCGCATATCTCACCGTAATAAAAATGTCAATACATATGCAAACAGTTATTGGGTAAACATGGACCAACTAAATTAAGTGAAGGAGGAAAGGGATACAGGAGTGTAACGTTGCAGTAATTGTTTTCTGAGAACATGTTTCTAAGACATTTCTATTCATATTTCAAAGTGTTTGGGATATCTGACTTTCAATATAGTTGAAAAACTGGATTGTTGGGAGGTCTAGGAGTATAACATATAAAACATATGGCAAATGCGTAGACACAAATTCAGCACTGGCTTCTTTTGAGCAGCGGTAAAGCGTATGTAGGTTTACGAATATAGAAACAGAGATATGTATGTATGTACTCACGGCACGCTTACGCAGTCTCCTCCGGGATTAAGTTAAGTTCAAAACCTGAATCTAAAAACGCTTTGACTATCTGAAACTGCACGTTTCCATCCTTGACGTGGACTATCGCCATTGGTATGATACTTTTCGGTACGTGCTAGAAGAGAAATCTGTGTTGCTCTTGGCTGCACAGCTGCTGCTTGACCTTTACGTGAAACTATTGAACGATCTGCAATGGATGGTACATAACCTCGATTTGTTGAGAATTCATGCAAGAGAGTGTGATGCGCTGTTTGCCATACTCTGCACCTTTAATTGGATGAGCAATCGGTTACAGTGTAAGATTTCCGTAAGCAGTTGAATCACAGAGGTGTATTTTTTACGAAATCCTTTCGTTGAGCTAAGCTTAATTTTGCAAAGACCTTGCAATGACTTATATAATGAGTGGCTGACTCACAGTAAACTCAGATAGCCGGTGTAGTGACAAATGTCTTCGACAATAAACTCGGTGATGCTTTTAGTTTCTGAGACCAATCACCTTGGCGGTTCTTGATTGAGATCCGTTAACAACCTACTAAGAACTGGCATCGGTGTGTTAGTGTTTTACAAAACTTGACCCAAATGGGTAGCTCGTCGAATGATTGTTTCTCATCGTAGCTGAGTCGAGTATCTGCGTGCACTTTTGAAAAAACCAGTCCACTTTTGAAATCATTATCGCGTTCATAATATCATCCGCGCTGCCCAAAGATAAGATAGATTCTCGGATAGCTGACAAACAGTTTAACAAATAATTAAATTTACCGATCTGAGGAATTACAGGACATTTTTCCAAATCTGAAAAAATTCTGAACTTCCGATTATTCCGTACTGCGTCCTGTCACGGTCGCCAAAGTGTTCGATCGACTGCCGAACTTGTTCGCCAATCGAAAGTACTTCAGTAAGAATTGTAGCTTAAGCCACGTTATGCAACACTAGATAGTAGTAGCTAGGGCTAGCTTGCAAAGTTGCCATACAGTTACATTGTATAAACTAAATTTACTTTATATTCAAATGCTCCCCGACACCATATATCTGTTACTTCTCGACAAGAATGACAAACATCCCTATGTACGGATTAAAAATATTTTTAAGTAATTATTAAGTTGGGAAATGAAAAAAAAAATATATATATATTTTCTTTGTTTCTCCATTAGATTACTCGGTAAACATATGACGAAAAGTAAGAGGAAACTAATTTTATGCAATACCTTCTACAGAATTTTGACATTTGCAACAAACTGGAAAAACTTAGTCTGGAGTGTAATAAAATTATAACTGAGATGCCGGCAAATAACGATTCTATATTTAGATTTAAAAATTTTAAAAATCAATTAGACGTTCCTTTTGACGTATATGCAAATTTTGAATGTATTTAAGAGGAGATATATATTAAAAGTTCGGATAACATAAATTAAATTCAAAAGCATATACCGTATGCATTTAAGTTTTATATAAAATATTCATTTGATAATAAGTTGTAATGTATCTGTACATACGAGTATATGTATATATCTTCTATATAAAAATTATTCGGGTTTTTCTTCCCGACGCTATAACTCCAGAACGCACAAAGCGATTTCCATGGTTTTGCATTCGTTGGAAAAGTGTCGCGCTCCGTGAGGTTTATATCAAACAACGATGAGAAAAAAATTAAAAAAAGGAAAGCGGGAGAATCATTTTTTATTTAAGTTATGCGTTTCCTCACATTTCAATTGGAACAGCAGGCAAGCTACTGATTGAAGTAGGAATGATTGTTCCAAATCGATCGATGCACTTTGCATTTAACCAAGAACTAAATCGAGAGCTTTAATACATTGTTGATACATTGCAGGAATTCGTTCGAAATAATGTTCCGTTGCTGAATAAACAGCAAAAACAACTATACGAAACATTAATGCAAGCGATGGAAAACAATACTGGTGGTCTATTCTTCCTGGGTGCACCTGGAGGAACAGGGAAAACATTTGTTATTTCATTGATTTTGGCAACTATTCGATCAAGATGATTGAGGCAACCATTATCAATGGAAAATACACGGAAAATTTATGTATTCCTCAAATATCAATGATTCCGACTGATCTTCCGTTTGACTTCAAACGATTGCAATTTCCAGTTCGCCTTGCGCTCGCAATGGCAATTAACAAGTCGCAAGGCCAATCGCTTAGTGTTTGCTAAATAAATTTAGAAAATCATTGTTTTTCACATGTGCAGTTATACGTTGCGTGTTCACGAGTTGAGAAACCATCCGCTTTGTTTGATTTTACGTCAGACCAAAAAACAAAAAAGAAACAAACAAACAAAGAGCACTTCAATGACACGGATAGTTTGCGGACGATTCAGTATTCACTCCCATTTACTTAAAGAGGTTCAACTAAATACACTTTATTTTTGTACTTGAAATGAATTCATTACTGTTGTGAAATGAAACAAAATTTTTCCTTTTTAAATAAAAAACAAAACAAAAATTTCTTCATCTTTTAATTACCAAAAGAAATAAAGCCATCTGGCAGCGAAAGTGAGTTCGCCGGGTTTTCTATTTTATGTACATATATATGTATATACCAGAGATCGGCAAGGTTACACCCAGACAATGAGTGCACTCGAATCATGTGTGCCTTTTCGGCACTCAGAGTGTGATCGGCACCCTAAAATAAGGGTGTGTGTCTTGCACAAGCTCATTTCGAATGTGCACTTGCGCACCCAGTACTCTTTTGCACAGATACTGAGACACCCATGTTTTTGGGAAAAGTGAGTCGGGTGTCTTGAAATGAGTCGAGTGTCTTGAAATGAGTCGGGTGTCTTGAAATGGGTCGAGTGTCTTGAAATGAGTCGGATGTCTTGAAATGATTCGAGTGTTTCCGGTGTCTTTAACTGATCTGAGTGTTTCGGGTGTCTTCAGCTGTATTGCATGAGCAGGTCATTGAGGGTTGACCGAATAATTTTACATGAAAGGAAGGAAGGAAATCCCAATAATTTAATCTTAGAAAAGTATATTTCTAATAATACAAATTATTGCCGTCTTCAGTAACTAAAATTAAAAAATAAGAGTTTATAATCATTACAAGTATTCAATGATAAAGTCTTAAAAAACCCAAAAAAACGTATTCCCGTTTTTTGCAGATGCGTATAAGAATACAGACCATAAGTCAATTGCACTGCGAATAGCAGGTAGATGACCTGACACAGAAAATCCTAAAATGTTTGGCCCGTTTTAAGGGACCATTATTGGGATTTCCTTCCTTTCATGTAAATTTATTCGGTCAACCCTCAATGACCTGCTCATGCAATACAGCTGAAGACACCCGAAACACTCAGATCAGTCGAAGACACCCGAAACACCCGACTCATTTCAAGACACTCGACTCATTGGCCTTAAGGGCCAACGATAACGTTAGTTACATAACTCTCAACAAGTGAAGGAAGACTGCTAGGCGTACCTGCCTGGCGCGCTACACAACTCCTAACGAAGGAAGGAAGAACACTAGGCCTACCAGCCTGGCACACCCCCTCCCGCTGACAACACATCGATTGCTGCCAGGGGACTGATACTAATTGGCGCCCACGTTAAATTACCCATCTAAGTCGGGGAAATCATGTAAGTGAGCACTTCTGTTCCAAAAAGTTTTCCGGCATCTGCATTAATAAAATATTTCAATACGCTACATTTTCTGCAGCTCTGTATTAGAGTTTCGTGCTAACATTTTTATAAATAAACGTACTCACTAATTGTTTGACAATTTTATTGGTGTAATCACAAGTGATATTATTTATGTTTTTCATTGTTTGCATTTATTAAATTCATTCAATAAATATCTTGGTGCCGAATATTATCGCCAATATAACTACCAGACTACATATTTAATACCCAGCCTAGACGCAAAGGCGCCGCTGGAAAATAAATTTATAAATTGTACATTTATTTTACCCCTTATATGTAGTCGTCTTTTTGCTTACGCCTAAATTCTTTGTGTTAGCTTCGCAACAATCTTGGGTTTGTTTTCGTTTCCATCGCTTACCCACCCCACTACGACACTCGAACTCGACACCGCGACGTTTGTATTCCGATTTTGTTAACTTCGTTTTTTGTCTTTCGGAACGGCAGCTTAGCCACCACGGTTCTTTGCTGTGACAATTTTTGTTGTTTATATTTTTGTGTGCCATAGCGGAGTCCCCATGACCCCCTTCCCTTTGTCATTGCTTGGCAAGGCAACAGCTCAATTTTTCAACGAGCTCTCATACATCGTTACCAAGCGGCATCTCAGACCCCGCGGCCCTCACACCATACCCATGGACAATACCGCTTGAGCATGCATTAAATCGCTGGGCCGATTTAGCTTGCACAGCTCCATATGAGCAACCCATTCCAACAATATAGAAACAACAGGCAGGTCCCCAGCGACTCTGAATCCGAGACCGAAGGGCCGGCAAGAACTTCTACACCGAAAAGTGTAAGCGTCGGCACTCCCTTAGCCAGAAACATGGCATTTAACCCAGATCAAATAAAGGCGGTAGTAGCGGCTGCCGTCAACCATGCCCTACAGGAAGCGGCCATTGACAGCCAGCGCAGGGAAAATGAGTTGCGCCAGACTATTCAACAGCTGGCCAACCAAGTGGCGGCGATATAGGTCGCACCCGCCCCAACAGTTGCTCCCCAAATTAAAGTTTATACACCCATAGATATTAACAACACAGTCATTTGTAATGAACCACTAGACGCCGTCAAATGCCTGCCCGAATTTTCGGGTGCCCAGGAAACATACGTCTCCTGGCGGCAGGCGGCAGTAGGCGCATGCTATATTTTTAAGAATTTCGTAGGTAGTTCACGCCATTATCAGGCAGTTATTATAATTAGGAGGAAAATAAGGGGCCCGGCCGATGCAGTGCTATCCTCATTTGGCACAGTGCTTAATTTCGACGCGATCATAAATCGTCTCGACTTTACTTATAGCGACAAGCGGACAATGCATGTCATAGAGCAGGAGATGGGCACCCTCAGACAGGGGAATCTCTCGCTTCTACAGTATTATGACGAGGTTGAAAGGAAGCTCACCCTCCTCACCAACAAGGCGACCATGTCATATGAAGCCTCGGCTGCACAAGTTTTGTGCGAAAAATTCCGGGATGATGCCCTTCGCGTATTTATCTCTGGATTAAAACGCAACCCCACTGACGTCCTCTTCGCGGCGAAGCCCAAGGACATGCCATCGGCACTTGCCTTGGCTCAAGAGGTGGAAGCGAACCATGATAGGTATACCTTTGCATCATCATTTGCAAGAAGCCAGGAAGATAGGGAGAAAAAACAATTTCCCAAGGCGCAAGAGCGTCAGCAGGCTGCCCCTCAGGCTAATTCCCAACATAGTGGCGGTAAAAACCCCCATTTTACTAAGCAACACAAGGCACAAGTGCACTCTGCCCCACGCAGCGATAGGCACCGGGGACACACTCCAGAACCCATGGAAGTGGATCTATTATTGTCTAAGATGCTTAAACCATCACAAGCCCCGGCATACCAGATTAGGAGGCAGGCGGCGTCCGATAGAGCCAACCCACAAATAAGGCAAAGGGTAAACCACATTGCCCAGAGCGCTGACAGAACTGGTGATACGTACACCACAGCGGCCTCTAGCGTGGCACAATAAATCGATGACGACGCTATCAACGAGTACGACTCGGATGCCATAAATTTTTTAGGGGAAGATCCATGCTACCCGTCATCAGACGAAGAGTAGCGGGGATTGACATGAGATTTCTAGTTGATACGGGCGCGGCCAAAAATTTCATCCGACCATACGAAGGATTGAAAGGCGTCCGCCCGGTAGAATCTCCATTCAAGGCTCATTCGATCCATGGAGTCACCAATATCACGAAGAAATGCTTCGTGTCAATGTTCAACTTGAAGGCCACATTCTTCATTTTACCAGATTTGTCCTCTTTTGATGGAATTATCGGCCTTGACCTTTTAAAACAGGCAGGGGCGTCACTTTGTCTGGCCTCCGGTCAGCTCAAATGGGGCACGGAAGTAGAGAGCATCGACTTTCATACATGTCCCGATGTAAATTTTACTGAGGTGGACTGCTCAGATGCACCACCTTTAGTCAGAAAAGCGTTTTTGAAAATGCTCAGCGACAGGAAAAAAACCTTCGCAGACCCCAATGAGGCCTTGTCCTACAATACGTCGGTGGTTGCCACCATCAGAACTATTGATGAGACGCCCATTTATGCCAAGCCTTACCCATATCCAATGGGGGCAGCTGATTTTGTAAACGGCGAAATCCAAGATCTGCTAAAAAATGGCATCATCCAAAAGTCGAAATCCCCCTACAATAACCCAATATGGGTTGTAGACAAAAAGGGCACCGACGAAACTGGCAGGCGGAAAATGCGTTTGGTATTGGATTTTCGCAAACTAAACGAGAAAACAAT